CCCCCCTCCCTCCCTCCCTCCCGCGTGACTTTGTTTTTACCTTTCGTTTTCTTTCTTTTTTAATTTTTGTGTGTCTGATTTTTTTTTGTCCCCTTTCTTTGTTCTCGTGGGGCTGTGGTGTCGTACCGAAAGAAGCGGGGCCCGGCCTTCAAGCAGCGACCGGGCCTTCCCTTGGCCGACCCCCAAAGGTGTTGGCGCGTTAACGGGGAAGGCCCGCGGCCGATAGCTGGGCCGAGTACTGGTGGTTTAAGGCTATCAAACGGATGGGCGTAGCTCAGTTGGTACACCCACAAACTCTTGAAATGCAGACCTGAGTTCGCATCCGGATGGAACTAGAGGACCAAAATTCATGAGTTACGAGGGCCCAGTCAGTTTCATGATGATATCTCAAGGCTGTCACTCTTTGGGAAAGAAAAAAAAAAAGGGGGATAACTAGGGGGCAGTCAGAAGTAGTGCCACAAGACTATCAGCTGAGGTTCAATGAGTGGCTGTCAATCGACTCTAATGTCCCCATGAGACCTGCAGAGGAGTTCCCGGACCCGTCCCCCCCCCCCCCCTCCTTGGACATAGGTCTGTGATATCCCCTTTAGCAGGTCTCATAGGTTCAGTCATGCAGGTCCCCGGCCTCAGAGGTAAGGATGTGAGACAGTTGCGGGACATGGTTTCTGAAATGGCTTTTTCAATTCTCATCATACTTTCATCAATTCGAATCGTAGAAGCGATGCCCCACAGGCCGGTTGGAGAGGGGCGGGGAGACGCGTGGTCCCGCTGGTGCCCCCCAATGGCCCCATGACGTGTCGTCGCCTTCATAACTGGTGAGGAGAGGACTGTCATCAGCAACGCTCTTCAGCACCCTGCTCAGTTAATCCTCAGGAATCCAGAGTAATCAATGCTGGCAGGCGTTTTCAGATATTCTGTCAAGTTTTCTGTTTTCTGATTCATTTCGTTTCATTCTGTAAGAGGGACACTGGCCCGTTTTCCAGCAGGTGATGCTCCCCACCAATAGCTGGAGTCTCTCCTCAAAGTGTTAGCTGTGTCTGCTCTTACCAGCACCACTACCACTAGAGGGGTTGTTCAAAAAAAAAAAAAAAAAAAAAAAAAAAAAAAAAAAAAAAAAAAAAAAAAAAAAAAAAAAAAAAAAAAAAGGAGGGTGCAATCACGGTTTCAGTTTTAAATCCAGTTCAGGCATCCCTCGAATACAACACATCCCCACCCGACCCTAACGCTCATTCACGATTTCCTTGGTTTGACACAAGATTCGCAAAAATCATGACTGAAATGCATCTTCAAACTGAAACCGTGACAGCACCTTAGTTTTTCCAAAAAAACATAAAATTATGCAAGGCTGGGGCGGTATACTAGCACTGGGCTCCAAACTACCTTCCCCCCCTTTTCCATAGCCAATTTTATCTTGATAGTGAATACAGAAATTCCCACCCGGGGGCTCTTCGAGCTCCCTGGGGGCTCCACGGCTGGGTGGTTAGCGCATCACTGTGCCACTCCGAACCGGCGCCGGTCAAGGCTTCTCTTACGCTGTTCATACAGCCCTGGACCCTACCTCGCCGTCCATCCCGCCATCGCGACGGGACACGGAGGATCCACCATACCCGCCCATCGCGGGTACCAGCTCGCCCGGATTGGTATCCTTTCGAGGTAGCCACCGTACTAGTTAGGTAGGAACTAGCTGCTCAGCCAGACATGGGCTCGTAGCTTTCCTGAACAGTTTGAGGTCTACCATGCTCAAGGAAAGGAGTGTCCAAACGGGTTGACGGCGTCACATCAATCTTCGCTACAACAGTGGTCAAAGGTACTCTGTACAGGGAGTTATTCGGTTGGGCAAGCGACAACAATGAAGTTCAGAGGTTAGGTAAGCAAGCAGGGATGCATGCCACCTTCAACAAAGACTAGGGTCTCATCACCCGGCAATATCGATGCTTCACTTTCTCGCTCCTTCTCCGGCTCCTAGCCATGCGTAGATTTCCTCAGAAAATGCCGAACATTTAGGATGGTACCAACACCCCTAGAG